TTTAAAGATCCAAAGCAGATATAAGAAAATGTCCATTCTGATTGGTAGGTGTTTGTAATATTTTTCTCAAAACACCTGTATTTTGAGAATTGTTCTCTTGCCAGGAATGTAAGTCTAAGTAAAGATTTAGTTAGAAGCATGTTCAGGCTCGGCAAAATATTGTTTACAAGAGAAGGTTCACATGTTTTATGGACAAGTTCTAGCAAACCTAAAAGGAGAAAATTAATGATATGTTATTTAAACTGTTGCCAAGCCTGGGAAAAGACACAAAGCTTCCCAACCCACGTTTTACACTTGACATGTTTAGAATGTGAAGTTTGCGTGTTGGCAGATAGCCAGTAAAAACATTTGCCTGTAAAGCCGAGAAGTACATAACTGGAACAATAGCAAAAAATAATACGGACTGAGATGGGTCAAAAAACTATTACAAAATGAAATTTGAAATTCTAGGTATGGGGAGTATTCTGGTATCGATAAACAAGTTAGAGATATATTAATAACTCCGTAAGCTATGCCTGCATCCTCTTACAATGTAGGCAACATTGTTGAGAACTCCATGCAGTCCCGAGGCTGGATGCGTCCCGGCTCCCAGGGCCTCATTCCTCCTCTCGCATGGCTGAACTCTCCATGGAAGAGCCGGAGAGAGAATCTGAACAGGGAGGGTGTCCATCAAAATGTCATTTCTGGAAGACATTCCATCATGGTAATTCCTTTATGATGTCAAGGTCCCTCTCTCCTCTTCTTCCTTTTCTTTAACTTTTCTTTTTGGACCTCAATTGCAAATCATCAATTCAATCATATTCCTTATTTTATGACACATTATCATCTTTATTCCTTGCAAGGGCCATGTTTGGACCTCCATTATCTATTTTTATGTACTTTTATGTCAATGAATTAAATTCTTGTTGTCCCCATGCCCTATTCTCTTCCAGAAGCTATTCTATTCTGTTTAATGCATTTATTTACATGTATTCTTACAAAGTGTATATTGTTGTTTAGTACATGTATATTTTATGTAGATAACAATGTGCAATGTATCTCATTTTGTTTTGTCACTAAGCAGAATGTTTTAAGATTCATATATGTAGTGATGTGTATATATAACCTATTATTTCTAATTCCAGCATAATATTAATACTCCATGGTGAGAATCGCCACGTGTTGCCAACCATATGCCCCACAAAGCCCACAATATGTACTATCTGTCCCTTTACAGAATAAGTTTGCTGGGCTCTGACAGCATCATTGTAATTTTTGCCAATCTAATACCTGTAAAGCAATATGTAATTGTTATTTTAATTTGGATTTCTCTGAAAAAAATATATTTTTGAGAATCCTTTCACAGGCTTACAATATTAAGGGTTCATTTTCTGTGACGTTCTATTCATATCTCAAGTTTGGATATGAGGATAACTAAAACTTCATAGAACACATTAATAGACTCACAAGATAATGCAAATTAATAAGTTCTCAGAGGTAAAATTCATCTAACTTCTTTGTTTTGTAGATCAGGACCCTGGTCTTATGTAAGGTCATACAGTGACTAAGTGACCAGGCTGGGAACTCAAGCCTTCTCCTCTGAACCACGATCCAGCGCTCTTTTCTCACCACTGCCGTGGAAGGCCTTCTTTGAGTTGTGTTTTTGAGCAGGCCATAAAGCAAACATTCATGCTCTTATTCCTCAATGAGCAGTGAGACCATGCTATGAAGTTTCTACCTAGAGACAGAAATGTCTCCTGCACCCTTTGATCAATACTTTTCTCTGTGACAAGTTGGTTGAACTCAGCAGGCACCTACCCCACCAGCAAGTCCTAGTCTCCCTGCAAAGGAATTGCCATAACGGAAAAGTCCACATGGAATGATGATTCATCTCTATCTTATTCCTAATTTACCTTTTCATAGGATATGCATTGACATGAATGCTAATGGTTAAGGCACTGATTATTTTTTGCTCCTTTGCAAATAAACTTTATAACTACCAATTTAGAGAGAGAGAGAGAGAGAAGGAGGAGGAAGGAATTGGATGAGTCCCATATCCCATAAAGGATCAAATAAGTAATTTCTTCTAATAAGACCCATAACACTTCATCAAAAACTTCTCCCGTGGGACAGGGTAAAACATCATAAGCACAAACAAAGAAAAGGTCACACTCATTATTGCAAAAGACATGGCTTTAGTATATAAAGGCACAGAATAGGAAAACCTCCCAGTTTCTGGGGGTGTTATATCTATGCAGAAGCCCACCCCCCACACGTGACAGCATGCCTCTCCCTTCCACTGAGGTCCCAGCTCAGCCTGGACATACACAGGGATCTTGATGTCCCATTGATTCGGGATTTTTTTGGTGAATTTCCTTCATCCTTAATGTTTTTCTCAGAATGTCCCACACATATTGGCAGGATATATTTGACTACTGAAAACCACAGACACAGGGACTGAAGGGCTGGAACCGGTGAATGCTCAGCCCATGAGCATCAGTAAGTTTCTGAGCAGATCCCAGGGTCACTGTCCCTGGGTTGGGGAGAAGGATCATTCTGGGAGCACGTCAGAGCTCTAGTCCTAGGCAGCATAAGGAGAGAGGCCCAACCATTTAAAATGGGACAGTTGTACAAAGTGGGACGGGAGAAGAAAAAGGTGGTATCAGCTGGGCCAATCAGCTGCTGAAGGCCAAAGTACTAAAACCAAACGGTTACCGCTCTTCACTCAGATTTGGTTAGGCATGTTTTATAGGCATCTGGTTCAAGGCAATTGTAAATTGTGGAACAAATAAATCAACCTTAAGTAAAGCCATACAGCTAAATCGAAATGTGGCGTGTACATGTGTGTGCACACATGTGTGTGTACACACGTGTGTGTATGTGTGCATGTGTGTGTGAGTACGTGTATGGAGACAAGGTACTGAAGACAATGTCAATATACAAAAATAAAAGGAAAATACCCATCAGAAGACTAGAACAGAACGACATACCAGGATCATCTAAATGACAATCCCACATATATCTTGAGATCAGAGAAGCAGAATTGCCAATTCTGACATTAGTCAATTCAACTACCAGTAGACCATCAAGCCCCTTCCATGTCTAGGTGCTCAGTTTTGCCCTGATTGCCGTCCAACTTTTTTCTGACCCAGAACCTTATTTCTTGACCTTGACTCATGTGATCCTAAAACCAAGGATGCACCCATTAATACTTTCTCTACAGCTAGAAAGTACACATCACCAACAGAAAAATAAGAACCATGAAGATGTGTGTTCCAGTTATCAATTTATTGTTGCTCACTTGCAGATACATCCAGCATTGCTTGCTCTATTATACTACAGATGGAGCCTGTGAGTATTTCTCCTTTGCCAACTGACACAGTGTTACGCTTTGTCAATAGAAGGGACTAGAGAGACACTGGAGTGAGAAAGTGTTTCTTTTCCTGCCTTCCCTGTGCCCCACCAGTCACAGGCAGCACATGTGGATTCCTCTGTGTTCACCTCTTGCAATGCATGTGGCTTCCACTGTAGGAAGCTCCTAGAGCCTGCAGCTTCTGTAGACCTGATTCCTGCAGCTCGTGGCTTGTTCAGTGCCCGGGTCCTGCAGCAGGAAGTGGCCAGCAGTGTCCTGCAGCCCAGCAGCACATGGCATCTCCCCATGGGCGGCTTCCCCCAGCACCTCAGAGAGCAAAATTCCAGCAAATGTACCAGTGTGGCGTCTCGGCAAACCTCTCCACCATCCAGTGAGCCACAGCTGAGCCCTGTCCAGCTAAGTCTGGGTTTTAGCCAGGGGGTGAGGGTGGGGAATCCTCTTCCTACCTCAGACCTCATAGTTGTAACTGCTCCTAATTCTGCTATTCCTGTATTTTTTTAGATTTCTGTTTACCTCCTACCAGCCAGGAGCAGTGATAACCTTAACCTCATTCCATGTAATAGTTAATAATTATTTATATGAAACATCCCCTGTACAAATTAATACGTGGTTTTTGCCTCTCTCCTGATTAGACTCTGACTGAGAAAGAATTGGCACTGGGAATGGTCCCAGGAAATAGATCCACAAAGCTGGGACATGGGGATTGATTGGGTCATGCCCTTGGCCTGAGCACAGTGCTAGATTTCTGGCAACGGGAAACAGGGTGAAAGTAATCCATGGTGTGTACTAGGATCACAGTTCAGCGAGCTATCACCTACAGTGGCACCTGTGATGAGGCGCCAACCACATCAAGTGCCACGGGAGCGCAGTGGTCGCTTGGCCATTACGGCCATGATGATGGCCCTAAGGGCTATGGTGTGGGGCTGATCCTTCTGCGTGCACTTAAAGTGCTTACAGAAAGGGAATCTCAAGCTCAGGTCATTTAAACCTCAGCTTAAGTCACTGTCTAGAGTGTCTATGACAGCCCTAAAAGAATCACTTATTTCTTGTAGCCACAGGACTGAGACTGCTAAAAATCAAATACAACATATAATTGTGTGGGAGTCACTCTGAGCCTCCTTACTCCCTTCCAACTTGAGCCTCTATCATTCTAGAGACCAGCAGACCAATGCAGACCCACTGACTTAGAGGGCCTCAGGTCACTGTGTTCAAATGTGACCTGCAGGAAATCTATGCAGGGTTGTATATAAGAATGAAAGCACTCCAAGAGTCTTATTCATTATACTTAACCACTCACATTTTTATTAGCAGTTGGCAGCAAAAGAGTCTTCTAAAGACCAGGCAGCATCAAAAGAAAAAAAAAAAAAGACACGAGAAGATTTTGCTGAAATGACATGAATTGACTTCAGGAAATGCAAGCTACAGGGTGGACCATGCTTACTGAAAGGTTATCCTTGGTTAAGAGGGATCTCTTAGTGGCCGGACAAGTTCCATGGTCAGTACCTGAAGAGAAAGTGCGGCTGGACTTGGGGTAAAGTTAGAAATCAGGCATTGCTTGTGCTCAGCTAGAGGCAGTCAGGCACCCATGGGGTGGCTATGCACTTATAGACAGTGACAAACCATCTGAGGAGGTGTGAAGAGTGCTCCATCAACAAAGTGTCGTCTTACAGAAGTTGGACTCACAGCTGGGTCGGCAGGAAGTCACCAAGCGGGTGCTTCCCTTGCAGAGATTTGGGGAAGTTGGTTGGAAGCAATTGGAGCTACAACCAGATGATATGCCTAAACCTGTCACACAGCAAGCTGATTGGCGGGAAGAAGATTTGCAGCCATTTTGGTTATAGGAAGTGGGTCCACCACAGGTTGGTTGGCCAGAAAGCACAGTGCCACAGGAAGCTGGTTTGCAGGAGTTCTTTGCAGCATAAGAGGGCTGGCTGTTAGCCACCGGCTGGCAGATGAAGGACCTGGAAGGAGCCGGTTGGCAGAGAAGTGGCTGGCAAAAGGAGGGCACACGGCAGGTAGGATTGCAAGAACTGAACACGTAAGTTGAAGGCTGGCAGGGAACGGGCACACAGGGAAGTTGTTGGCAAGTCTTGAGAATGTAGCAGACAGGTTGGTAATACATTGATGTACAGAGCTGGCCTTCATCACTGATGGGTTGACAGGAACCTCCTTGGCAGCAAGTGGGTTGGCATGGACTAGCTGCACAGATGATTGGTGGGCAAGATGTTTCAGGACAGGAAGTCACTTCAGAGCAAGACGGCTGGCAGGATCCATCGTCGCAGCAGACTGACTGGGCACAGGCTGTCTGACACAATCCGGACAGGCAGACAGGTTCCTGGCAGGAGCTTTGCTGGCAGGGATTGGCATCACAGCACTTTACCTGACAACCAGTGGATTCCAAGCAGGATGGCTGGCATGCGCTAACCAGACAAGGCGACTGACCAGCCCCAGACTGATAGCAGGCCGTGCGGGAGCACATGGGTTGGCAAATAAAACTCACGCAAGAAGTAGCTGGAAGGCAGGTGGGTTGACACGAAACAGGCTCACAGCCACTTGAGGCACTGCTGGACAGCTGACAGTTTTCTTGGCATGTAACCAATTGCCACGTCCTGCTCTGGCAGGAACTGGGCAAACAGATAGCATATCGGAAGCTGCCACCAGTTGGGCGGATGGCAATGGTGGGCACAGCTGGAATGGCGGTGGCGTTTCCAGGACAACAGCTGTCTGCCATGGTGCTGTGCTGATCTTGCTGGCAAGTTGCAAACTCCGTGCACCTGAGTTTGAAAGACATCCAATACATAGGGGCTTTTATAGTTCTTCACTGCCAGTGTGGCACGACCTAGAGCATCTTTCCTTATTATTGTTTTTACTCATTTGTGTGCAAACATCTGATTAGCAGGCTTCAGGAGCCTGGGAGATGTTGTCCCAACTTTAAATAAGTATCTGTTGAGTTGAGAGTTTTCTTTGCTGACTTTGGATTGGTGGACGCTGCTCCTGCTCTGGGATGAGCTGTCTCTTTTACAGGTTGTTCCCCAGCCTCACTGAGGCAGGCTTTTCCCGGCACTAACCTCTCATCAGGAGGCCTGCACCAAGCCCAAGCAGCCGTGCTCTCCGCCAGGAATGCGGCCCTGCGCCACTCAGACAACCAGGAAATGAGGCTCTGACCCCATTGGAGCAGGGGGTGAGAGAGACAGCAACAGAAAAATTATTCAAGGGTTAGAGGTATTCCCTTCCCCTCCACAATGCTCACCACATCCTTCAGATGTGGTGGCCTCCCCACCCCAAAACCCTGGTGCACACTACCACCATTTGAGCAACATAGTTTTAGTCAGTCAGTACCAATTTGATGGCGAGTAGATGTGGAGCCCATTTTCCAGATCTTGTGTCGCCTCACTTTGGATAATGGGCTTAAGCTTAATCCAGGATAGCATAAACGGTGCAAGCTCATCGTCATTTCTTAGAATTGAGTAATATTACATTGTGAGCATATACCAAATTTTAATTATCCACTGGTGAATTGATGGGCACTTGGGTTGTTTCCATGACCGTGCAATCGTGAATTGTGCTGCCATAAACATTCGGGTGCAGATGTCTTTGTAATAAAATGTCTTATGCTCTTTGGGGTAGATGCCCAACAATGCTATTGCTGGGTCGAATGGCAGGTGGGAGGGGGGAGGAGGGGAAGGGAGTATACTTACATACTTACATAATGGGTGTGGTGTGCACCAATTGGGGTTTGGACACGCTTGAAGCCCTGGCACAGAGGGGAGGTGGGGTGGCAGGGGCAATATATGTAACCCCAACAATATTTGTACCCACATAATATAATGAAATAAAAGGAGGAAAAAAAATTATTCAAGGGAACCCAAGGACACTCAAGTGCCTCTCTACCTCTTTCTAGAACCTTCCCACTCTGCTTTCCTGAAACCTAACTTTACTAGTACTATTACTAATAGCAACAATAGTGTTGGCTTTCATGAACTGCATGTTCACTGTAGACCAAGCCCTTGACTGCATTTTTCGTTGAATCCTCTCAATGACCTAGTTTACTAATTGCAATTGTCATTGCTGTGTTAGAAGTGGCAAAACTAAAAAAAACCTTTAGTTTATTATTAACTTTAAAACAAAGTTAAGATTAAAATGTAAAACTTCATTGGCCTTTTGGGGAAGCTTAAAATCTCCCCAAATTGGCTGTTCTCAAGACTATAAAAAGAAAGAAAGAGCAGAAATCAGAAGTGGCAAAACTAACTCAGAGAGTTTAAATCATGTTCCCAAAATTGTGCAAGTAATAAGCGGTAGAAACCAGATTCAAACCTAGCTCCAGCTGAGCCCCCAACCCCTGTCCTCAACCACCTGTCAGATCTCCTGGCGTTGGGAGCGTGGCAGGGGGCTTTGCTATGGCGATTGAAGGCTCAGGAGCAGGTCGCCCAGGCGCCCACTAGGGATCATCTGCCCCCTCCAGTGACTGCATCATTAGCCAGATCAAACTGGTGTGAGTACTCACCTCCCCTTATCAGTCCTCTGAAAGGCAATCTTTCAATTTGGAAATTTTAAAAGCTGCAAAATATTTCATCAAGAAGGATTAAACTAGCCCTATGGCGTCAACAGTGTATGCATTCTCTATGTATGAAAACATCCTCCAAGAGTGATAGAAGGACATCACTGAAAAGTGGTTGTAGTGTTAAGTCAACCCTTCCAAGAGGAATTCACGGCAGGTTTTCCTGACCTTCTGCTTGCCCCGGCCCTGCCCCACCTGCTAAGTCCAGCGTCCTCCATCGGTCCATGTTCCCGCCTGGTTCACGCTGGAGGTGCGTGACGCAGGGGAAAGATCACAGTGTGGGGAGCCGGGCAGGACTGGTCTTGATTTCTGCCTCTGCCCCTAACTCATGCTGTTGGACATGTTGGCTAGTTACCCAAGTCTTCAAAGTTCCGAGATTTCATCAACTGCACCACTGTTTCTCAGATTATTTTTGCTCTGCTTTGGCTATGCCACAAATTATCAAAAATGTTGGAAATTCTGGGGTGTAACTTTGCAAAGTGCCAGCTACAAAATGCTTTTTCCTTGGCACCCACCTCACCCTCATGTTAAAAAGAAGAGAAACTTTTCTGATCGGAACAATGTCTGTAAGTCCTTTATCCTTGTCATTAAAATGCTTTTTTCCCCGGCCATTGATTTTTATGTCACACCACGGGTCACAGCTTTTGCCCACCTTCCTGTCTCTGTTCATTTTGTCATCTTCCAAAGCAGGGATCCCTGCGCCACGTTTTAGTCCCCGATACACACACACCAAAGCTCTTCATCTCCCAAGAGGAAACACTTTTGGTCATCAAATAGGTCAATCAAAATGGGAACATGAATACATTTGAGAAACTTATCACTTTCAACCTGAAAAAGGTATCAATATCCTACACTACTTCAACAGTTGTAGAGCAATCCATTTTGACATCTACTTTCTCTAAGTCATTCTGCTCTTGTTTCCTTTCCTCTTAAAAGAGCTTCCCAATAGAAGGAACGTCCATTTTGCTGTGGTTCAAGGCACTAAAGGCATCTAGCGAATCTGCCAGAGATGTCTTGTGACCACGCCAAGAAATACAGTGATTCATAAAAAACATAGACTTTGGACAAAACTGGATTTTAGTCACTTGTATGTTACTAGCTGTGACTATTCTGAATTTTATCACTCCAAATGTGTGTGTGTGTGTGTGTGTGTGTGTGTGTATGCATACATACCCATACATATGTGTGTGTGGTTTTTGAACTTCACATATATATGTATATACACAGAGACAGAGAGGTGGTCTTCCGAAGTTTGTTTATGTCAATCCACGTCACGCTAGTCAGGTTGACCTATGCTGTTTCAAGGAGCCATTCTCCAGTCACTCTCACTGCATGTAATATTCCATCGTGTGAATATGCCACAGTTTACTTGTCTGTTGACAGGCACTTGGATTGTTCGTCCTTCAGATTCTTCATTTTATATAATAGGGGAGGAAAAATACTACTTCACAAAATTGCTGTGATTTATGTGAAACACTAAATCCAGTGCTTGGCACAGAGGTTTAAAACCGTGGTCAGCTCCCCTCTTGACTCTGGAAGGAGACAGAAACAAATCTCAATGGCCTGATGTGACAGTGACTCCAACCAATATGCAGGATATGCTTTGCTCTTGACTTTCTTCCTCGGCTATTGTCTAACACAGTGGTTCTCAAACAGGGGTAAATTTTACGATGTCTGGAGACATTTATGGTCATCACACTCAAGGGATGCCATGGGCATCTAGTTGGTAGAGGCCAGGGATGCTACTTAACATCCTACGATGCCCAGGACAGCACCCGCGACAGAGAATTATCCAGCCCCAAATGTCAATAGTGCCCAAGCCGAGAAGCCCTGGTCTGCCCCCCCCCCACTATGCTTGTGATGACTAAGCTGCACCTGAGGATGAGGGTCGCCCTCCATTCTGTGTACTAAGTGCAAAAAGGTGACTGAAGAGACTCTGTTCTTAGAGATTTTAAGAGGATATGTATGGAGTTTATCCACAGAGTGTCAGGTAGGGACTAGGAGAACATAAGGAAAATTCTTTCACAGGAAATCCAGGTTACCCGACCTTCCTTATTGTGTGATCCCCACATGCTGTTTCCATCCCACTGTGGACCCCAAAGCCATTGGCTTCCTCCCCAGTCTCTCTCTGTTCAGGACCATGTTCCTCCACTGAGTTCTTCACACCAAGGCCAGAGGGATGTTCCAAAACCCAGGGCTTTTCACGTCCCTGCCCTGCAAACAGCTCTGCCCAAAACCCAAACCCAAACGCCTCTGTCTGTCTAGCATGCAAGGCCCGACATGGGCAGGTCACTGTCTGCTCTCTGACCTCAGAGCTCACCACTCCCCTAAGGACAACTCTGCACAAGCTTTGCCTAACGAACAGTTTGCTCTCAAGCCCCATTCATTTGTCCATGTTTCCTCTGCCTGGAAAGCTCCTCCTTCCCTATTTATAACTGGTTAACTCCTACTTGTTCTGAAAGACTCAGCTCCAGCATCACATTCCCCAAGAATTCTTTCCTGGTTCCCCCTATGCCCTGCTAAGTTCACGGTGTCCTGTGTTTACCTCCATCCTAGTGCAAAGGAATGTAAAAATTGTCTCCCTGTCTGTCTCTCTCCCCAACAAAGAGTGAGATCCTTGAGGGTGGGGACTGAGATTTTTCTCTTTTTATTCCTAACACAGTCTCTGGTACCTAACAGCTGTTTAATAATGCTGAAGGCATGGATGGATGGCTGCGTGGATGGATGGCTGCATGGATGGATGGCTGAGTGGATGGACGGCTGTGTAGATGAATGGTTGTATGGATGAATGGCTGAGTGGATGAATGACTGTGTAGATGGATAGATGGATGGCTGTGTGGATGGATGGCTATGTGGATGGATAGCTGTGTGGATGGATAGACAGAGGGATGGATGACTGTGTGAATGGATGGCTGAGTGGATGGATGGCTGAGTGGATGGATGGCTGCATGGATGGATAGATGGATGGTTTTGTGGATGGATGGCTGTGTGGATGGATGGCTGTGTGGATGGATTGTTGTATGGATGGATAGACAGAGGAATAGATGGCTGTGTGAATGGATGGCTGAGTGGATGAATGTCTGAGTGGATGGATGGATGCATGGATGGATGGCTACATGTATGGTTGTGTGAATGGATGGCTGTGTGGATGGATGGCTGCGTGGATGGATGGATGGATGGATGATGGCTGAGTGGATGCGATGCGCTGAGTGTCATGATGGTGCCGTTGATGGATGGCTGAGTGGATGGATGGCTGCATGGATGGTTGTGTGAATGGAAGGCTGTGTGGATAGATGGATGGATGGCTGAGTGGATGGAGGCTGTGTGGATGGGTAACTGTGTGGATGGCTGGCTGCATAGATGGATGAATGGATGGATGGCTGCATGAATGATGGATGGATGCCTGAGTGGATGAATGGCTGTGTGGATGGATAGACAGATGGCTGGTTGATGGATGAATGGCTGTGTGGATGATGGATGGATGGATGAGTGGATGGAGGCTGCATGGATGGGTGGCTGTGTGGATGGCTGGCTGCAAAGATGGATGAATGGATGGATGGCTGCATGAATGATGGATGGATGCCTGAGTGGATGAATGGCTGTGTGGATGGATAGACAGATGGCTGGTTGAGTGGATGAATGGCTGTGTGGATGGATAGATGGATGGATGGCTGTGTGGATGGACAGTTGTGTGGATGGATAGACAGATGGATGAATGGCTGTATAGATGGATAGATGGATGAATGGATGGATGGAACTGCTCTCAAAATGAAGCAAGTCACTAATACAACTATGGCATTAACAGAAGTGCAATGAAAATAGCATGTCACTTCAACTAAGCCATTTTTATTAGATAAATATTTTACCTCATTAGAGAAGTCCCCAAGGAACACAAGTATGCACAGCAAGGGAGCACACGCATGAGGACAGAAAAAATTTTATGTCAGGAAAGAGATTTGAGATGGCACGCCTCTTCTCAGCTTAACAGCAGCAGGAAACAGAGACTAGGAGCATCCCACTGTCAGTGCCCAGGTGGCCTTCACTTGGACCACTGGAATATTGACATTTCTGATGGGCTCTTTGAAGCATAAGCAGATGGCAAGTAGCAGTGCAGAAAGGAAAAATCCTGGCTAAGTCATAATGAGCTTCAGGGAGGGCAGTTGAGTATTCTCTCCAGGTGGTGACTTGCTTTGCAGGAATTGCTGGGTGGGGGCTGGCTCAGCAGTTGGCAGGCTTGCTGGCAGAAGGCTGAGTGGCTGTAGCCTCACGGGTAATTGGGGTGGTGGGTTTGGCCTCAGTGGGCTGGCAGGGACCCTCCTCTGTGGCCTCTGCCTTGCAGGGGGATGAGTCGGCACAATCAGGCTGGCTGGAAGTGAACTTCTTGCAATCCCGTTTGCAGGCGTCTGACTCAGCACAAGGCTGGCGGGCGCAGACAGGGCGGTAAGAGTAGGAAGTAAGGTAGGCCGGGCGGCGCTGGATGGAGTAGCAGGGGCGGTAGCAGGCAGGACGGTAGGAGACAGATGTCACGTAGGGCTGCCTGTAGGAGATGAGTCCGGAGCAGATCGGGCGGCAAACTGGGCGGCAGATTGGGCGGCAAATAGGTCGGTAGGAAACTGCAGGACTGCAAGGCCGTTTGCAGGAACTGGGTATGTAGAAAGTCCGAGGGCAAGTTGGTTGGCAGATGGCAGATGCAGAAGACCCCGGCCGGCAACACAAAGGTTGGCAAGAGGTAGATGGGCAGGAAACAGGCTCACAGCTAACCGAACTACAGCGCTTGACCACGTAGCAGGTAGGCTGGCACGGGCTGGGCACACAGACAGCTGGTGAGCAGGGGCTGGGCTCAGAGCAGATGGGTTGGCAGACACTGGAGACGCAACAAGAAGGCTCCTGGCAAGTGCTGGAGATACAAGGTGGCTCGCAGGGGCTCGGAACACAACAGACAGGGCGGAGGCAGACGGGCTCACAGACCAGAGCCACGCAGGGAGCCGGCTGGCAGATGCTGGGCTCTGAGCAGGATGGCTCACAAGGACTGGGGTCACAGCAGACAGCCTGGCAGCTGCTGGCCACAGAGCAGATAGAGGGACCACAGCTAGGCGTCGGGCACACTGGCTGACAGCAAACGGGCTCACAGACCATGGGTTGGCAGGAACTAGGCACGGCACACACAGCTGAACAGCAGCTGGGTTCACAGATGACCGGCTGGCAACAGCTGGGTTTGCAGAGCACAGGCTGGCAAGATGTGGGCACACAGAGGACCGGCTGGCAGGAAGTGGCCTCACAGCACACTGGTTGGGCACAGCTGCTCTCGGGACAAGTAGGCTCACAAACGGTGGCCTCGCAGCACAGGGGTTGGGCACAGCTGCTCACGGAGCAAGAAGGTTCACAAACAGTGGCCTCGCAGCACAGGGGTTGGCAGCAGCTGCTCACGGGACAGGAGGGCTGACAGCATTGTGGATTGCAGCTGGGTGACCCGCAGCTATCTTGACAAGTCACCAGCTGCCATGTCTGACTCCGGCAGGAACTGGGCAAGCAGACGGGCACCCCACAGCTCACCTCGGTGGAGCACAGCGAGATGGCCGGCACGGACGGGCATTTCCTGGAACAGCAGCTGCCAGACATGGTGGAGGTCCTGTGCTTCCTTGTGAGTCCCAAGAGGTGGCTGCCTGACTGTGACAGCTCTCTGAGACCCTCACTTTTATACGCCCTCGCTGGCCCATGCTGTTTTGGGCCCCTGCATCTTTTCCTCATTGCTGTTTGGGCCAGTGTGTGGAGGAACACCTTATTATACCAATGTTTGTTGATCTGCAAGCTGTTTGTCTACTCATAAAGCAGCGTTTATTTATTGACTTGCTAAATCTGGAGTCCTCAGAGCTACAGGTAGCCTTAGAATAAGCACTGTCCCCTCCAAGCTAGATGATCTATATTTCTGAGCATCAGGAACAGGGAAAGAAGAATGAAACTGATCATTTAGCCACCTTCTAGTCTTCTGTATACCACATGAATAAGACCTACTCACCCATTCTCATGGGTCCCTCTGTCCAGTAGCCAGACAAGCTGCAGACAAATTCCCTGCAACACAATGGTAAGTGTTGCACACTTACCAACAGACGCACAACAGACACACGCAACAAACACACAAGGATTAGTAAAGAAGAGCAGTGGTGACCTTGGTCAGGAGGGGCTCACCTGGCTGCATTTTAAACACTTGCACCTTACAACAATGATCATACTTACAACCATCAGCAATCCCACAAGGCAGAGATTCTTCTCCTCCATTATAGATGGAGAAATGGGGCAGAGGGTGAGATATTTCAGTCACTTTCTGAAGAGCACAAACAGCCACCCCCTATCCAGGGCTGCTGTCTTTCCTTCTCACCAGCCTGTCTAAATCGACCTTTCTCAGTAGACTTCATCAAAGTCACACATCACGGGATCAGCCCCCTGCCATCCTCCATCCTGTCCCAGGAGCAGCCTTACCCCAGGACATTTGCTCCACTTGTCCCTGGAAAGCATCTGACCCATACTCTCTGCTCCTCCTCGAGCATTCAGGAGACCTCCAGGGTCCTCCTTGCCTCCGAAGATCTTGACAGCTCCTAAAAGGAGATGCCTCCAAGAGCCAAAGATAACAAAGAAAAATCAGAGGTTACGGGTGTCTTCCCACGTTTGTCTCTCAAAGACACTGTGAACAAGACATTCATCTCAGCCACTGCTTGAGACAGAGGAGGAGAGACATGAACCAGAGGTTTCCAAACACCACAGTCTGACATCCTGGCTCAGTAAAGGAACGCCCTCACCTCCACCACACATTTTTATCACCAATGCAAAAAGTAGGATCTCCCTAGGAATAGCTGAGCCATTGTGCCACCCATTCATCCCCCCTTCACTCATTAATTCATGCAATCATTGATTCAATTTTTCTTTTATTCATCCATTCAACTTAGCCAACACTGTGTTCTATATGACAGATACAAAGCAAATGGGCTGTAATTCTGGCCACAAGGAGCCCAAGTGTAGAAGAGAAATAGACACATCCATAAATAATTATGGCACAGCATTCAAGTGTTATGAAAGAGGGATGCATGGGTTGCTCTGGGGGTTTGGGGAAGTTAAGGAAGCCTTCTTAAGCAACATGATGGCTCTAGGAAGAAGGCTGGAAAGGGGTGGTAAGGGCAAGTAAAGAATGAGCTGTAGAAACCAAAGACACAAGACCATGATACATCTGGGAAGCCCCAAATGGTCCAACATAGCCAAGATGACAAGCTCAAGGGGACAGGAAGGGATGGCAATGGGAGTAGAGGGGTTACTAGGCACCCAATCATGAAAGGCCTTGCAGACCATGATTAAGAAGTTGGATTTTATAGTGATTCCTGCAGGTTCAAGCAGGGGTATAACTTGACCAGGCTTGCCCTTTGGAAAGTTCTTTCTGGCTGTGGAGAAAGGGGGAATGAGGGCAAGTCTGGAGACAGGAAGACCATTGGGCGTCTGGGGCAATTATCCAAAAGTTTCATGGTGACAACCTGAACAGGACAGTCCCTTGGGGCTGGAGCAATAGGAGAGGCTTCAAAGTAAAGAGGGAGCATCTACAGGTCTTAGTGGTTGAACATGGAAGATTGGGATCAGCAGGTGCTATTCTTTTCAACGTGGTTCTCAGGCAACAGGCAAAGGGGACTTTTGAACAGCGCTGCTGAAGGGAAGGTAGGTCAGGATCCCCCAAGACCCTGCTCCCTGCCCCTTGACATCACATAAGCACCTCGAGGGCAAGGACCTTGTCTGTTCACTGATGTATACCCAGCACCCAGAGCAGTGTTGGATACCTAGGAGGTGCACAATTAATACTTATTGAGTGAATAAATGAGAACCTCTGTGGGTGGCTAAGAAGGGCAACGCCTTATCAGCAATTCAAAGAAATCACTACCTCCACTCATGCATCCAGGAGACATGACCATGAGCAATAGGGTAATCAGATGCTCTGAATCACAACTACTCGATGCAGACCTGCTGGCCTCCGGGCAAGTGTGTCCTCTTGGCAGCTCCTGCTCTGGCTGTGGCATTGTCCTGGGGTTCAACAGCCAGCTCCTAGGAGGCCGATTTCAGCCAGAGCAAAAACAATTTAAATAGTAGAGTCCCAAACTAAACCAGGGCAGTTGAATCTTAAATTCTCTCCAAAAGAAGACATACTAATACTGCTGGATTTGTAAATGAAAACAAATAAAAAAATTAAAACGCAATGAGCTACTACTATACACCTGCTAGAATGGCTAGGAATAAAAAGGTTGATGATACCAAGTGTTAGCAAAGACATGGAGCCTTGCAACTGTCAGACATTGCTGGTTGAAATACAAAATGGTACAGCCACTTGGCAAAATGATTTTGGTAGTTTCTTTTAAAGTTAAATAGTCACTGACCATTTGCCCAGCAATCTAACTCCTATGCATTTATCCAAAATAAATGAAGCATATGTTCACACAAAAACTTCTACGTGAATGTTCATAGCAGCTTTATTCATAATAGCCAAAAAACTTAAAACAACCCAAATGCCCATGAGTAGGTGAATGTATTTTTTAATGTAGTTCATCCATACAACAAAACATTAGTCAATAAGGAGGAATAAATTACTGATACCTGCAACAACATGGATAAAGAAAAAAATACTATGTTAAGTGAAAAAGAGTTCACACTATAGGATTTCTTCTGTATGAAATTATAGAAATAGTGAAATTTGTGGTAACATAAAGAGCAGATTGATGGTTGCAAGGGGGTGAAAAGGAGGGAATTGACTACAAGGGGAAACTAGGAAATGTGTAGGGTTGCAGAAAGTTCTACATCTTGAGTGTAGTGGTGGATACATAAGTATATACAATTGTCAAATCACATCACACTATACACTAAAAATGGGAGCATATTATTATATGCAAATTATATTTCAAAGTTGACATAAAAAAGCCAGAATTTTCAAAAGGCAAAAAAGTAAAAGCAGCATCATCCCGGTTTTATTTATAAATATGCTTAGAAAGGAGCCTGGAAAGATATATATCAGTGATAAATTCTGAGTGGTGAGTGTTCCAGGAGCTGTTATTTATTCCTTATATTTTGTGTGTTTTTTCATATTTTTAGGGACCGTTCTTACACTTATAATCAGAAAAAAATTTATCTGTTTTTCAAATGAAACATCGCTTTGGAGGAGTAAAAATAAATATTGTTCTTCCAGGGCAAGAGCAGAATTAGTTTTATTCCACATGTAACTTATGATCATTTTTATCCCGAGGCTGAATGGACAATCTTGAATTGTAACCTCCCAGGTGGGCCCACACACTTTGGTCAGGGATCACTCTGTGGGGACCCAATTTGAACTGGCAGATGTGCACTCACTCCCTCCTCCTTGGGACTCAGGTAGAAGAAATGCATCTGGTTCTGGGACAAGACAACCTAACACAGAAAAATGAGACTGGGCAAAGCTTGGGACTGAAGGAACTGCCCAGAACATTCTTAGAAACTGCGTTCACAAGCTTTGCCACAGGAATCCCAGAATCAATAGAGCCTCCTCCCCTACCTGTGCCAGGAGGTTCCGACCAAGCCCGATGCCCTCCTGCAGAGTCAGGCTAGGAGAACCATGGCACAGAAGGAAGCCATGCCCCCGATCAGGATCAAATTTGGCCAGCTTCAGCCCCCCACACAGGAGCTTAAAAAAATGCAGGTCCCAGGGCACCCTAGGCCCTGGAGCTAATGGATCAAATCTCTAATGTGAAGCCCAGGGGTCTGTAGTTTTAAAAGCCTCCCGAGTTAATCTCATGCAGAAGATGGGAGCTTCAGTCTACATGTATGTTTCTCAAACTTCAGTGCATAAGAATTATTCTGACGTTCTTGCTAAAAACACAGATTTCAGGCCATGCCCCTGTGGATTCGGATTCTGTGTGTCTGAGGGGGGGCCCAGAATCTCCAGTTTTAACTAGCCCCTGGGCTATGAGTCCCTTGCAGGCAATCCACAAACCACATTTAAAAAACCCTAGTGTGGATGCCAGAGAAAATGTGGTCAAAGAAGAGGCAAGAGAACTAATTAGGTTATGCCAGCATGCTCCAATTTATTAAGAGGCTAACAAAAACTGTGGGTTTTGGCATCTCAAAAGCAGTAGAATTCCAGGCAGGAGGTCAGTCCCAAAGACACCTTGAAGAAGAGAGTGGCTTATAGTACGAGACATTTAACTTCTTGCCAACAAGGCACTGGACATTCATCCTTTGAGCTCAGAGAGCACTTCGTTGGGGCCCAGTTTTAATTTCTCGCCAGGGCATGGCTCTTGTTCTCGGCGCCTTGAAACTCCGGGGCAGGCGTTGGAGAACAAGCCCTCCTCTACAAATAACAGCAGAGCCAGGACACTGTCCTGCAGATGTGGAAAGTTCCGGAAATGAGGGGCCCTCCCTCGGGGGCAGATGGAGGCTCTCGGTGGGACCGCTGCGTCTTCACTTCGTGTCGCACACCGGCGAGGGCTGGCAGCACACAGGGCCACAGCACGAAGAGCCACAGCACGAAGAGCCACAGCAGCCGCCCCCGCAGCCGCCCCCGCAGCCAGAGCCACAGCAAGAAGAGCCACAGCAGCCGCCCCCGCAGCCCGAGCCTCCGCAGCCCGAGCCTCCGCACCCGGAGCCTCCGCAGCCGCAGCAGGAGCTGCAGCAGGCGGCGCAGCAGCCGCAGCAGGAGCCGCAGCAGGCGGGCTGGCAGCAGCACTCTTCACAGCAGTTCTGGTCCTGGGCGCAGCAGGTGAAGCAGTCCCCCGGGCAGCACCCCATGGTCCTGGCTGGTCAGGTCGCAGGTCAGTCTCGCGGCCCGGGTTCCCCTACACTGACCGTGGCCAGCTGGACCACAGCTTTTATATCCCCTCACCCAAGGGTGTTGGCACGAGGGACAGGATATTTTCTTTGTTGTTATTTATGCCAGTTCCTGTAAGAACATCTCATTAACAGGCTGTTTATTTTCCGGCCCTGAGTACCTCAACTCATAAAAAGAGCCCGACTCATTCCAACTGCTGTTTGTCCAGAGGGTAAAAATACATCTTGGGAAAGACGTGGCATCACGGCCAAACATCAGCCGGACGTCATCAGCCCAGGAACGAGAGAGGGAGGGGAAGGCCCTGGAACGGGGGGCTCGTTTCCCACGTCGTCTCGGGTGGCAAATGGCAGAGGACCCTGTTCTCCGTGGATGCTATGCCTGGAAAACCAGAACGGTGACATCTGCAAGCCCTGTTCCTTCCGCCCCAGGCCGAGGCTGCTGCAGAAGGTCTGGCCGTGTGACCCCTCCCAGGTGCAAATGGCATCCTCCTCGCAAATATTTGTGCCTGCGTGTGGTATGTGCAGTGTGCCACACATTCGTTTGGGCTTGGTCGGTGAGTGTCAATCACGAGTAATGACTGGCCCGGGAAACGAAGAGAGACTCATCATAAAACTGCGGGAGGCCGGAGAGCCACAGTTCTCTCTCCGGGCACAGTGAACTGAACGCTCTAAACACGTGGGAAGAGCTGTGGCCAGAACCTACGACCCCCACCCCCACCCCAGGCCTTTCCTCCATGCAAGAAGGAAGAGATGCAGGAGGAGGAAGAGGAGGGTAAGGAAAGGAGGGAGGAAGGGATGGAGGAAGGAGATCACTAAATATCCAAAATACTGCATTAAAATAGGAATCACGTGCACTTTTTTGTAAGAGCTCCAACCTTATAGGCCACCTGGCAGAATGAGGAAGTAGCATGCAAAATACCCACAGTGTCATCCTAGGGGATAAAGTGGCTTTGGAAAGAGACTAGAATCCACAAAGGATTCAGGTTCCTGTGTACATTCTGAGATGGGTCAAAATTTCTGTGTCCATTTTGGGCTTTAGCACTTTGTCATCCTCTTGGAATGACAGCAGCCCTGGAGCCTGCAGGCTCAGCACCCTGGAATACATTACTAGTTGGGGTGGGGCAGGGGGTTGAAAAGTGGGGATGGGGGTGAGGATCTGGACCAAGGGGCACAGGCTTTCCCTTGCATTTCCCTTTCCTTTTTAGATGGGGAGGCCTGGAAGCCAGGCAGCCCCCAGGGAGGGCTGGGAGGACTGTGGATGGGGCAAGGGCGGGGGGAGGGGTGGTGAATGGCAAGTGGGGAACTTGGATCTGATGTGACACTCAGTACTGCACAGAAGGTGGAATTTTAGAGCTGGGAGGAGCCCCTGAAAAATCATCTGGTCCAGGGTTTCTAAGCCCTGTTTTGTATCATAATTGCCTAGGGTGGGGGATCCCTAAAAATACAGATCCCCAAACTACCTCCCAGTCCTTACGCTAAATCAAAGTATGTGCTCCTGGGAGCATGAGAAGCTATACATTTTTTAAGTTTCTAAGGTGACTCAGATTATCAGATAGATTAGGAAACACTGGTATAATTGAATATGACCGTGACCATCACCCCCAAGCACTTGTATTTTACAGAAAATGATACCAAGGCCCAGAAGAGACACATCAGTGATAGATTGGACCCGTAACCCAGATGTCTTGCTTCCTGGTCCATGGTTTCTCAAGCCAGACCATGTCCACAGATGACACCTCTGGGTGAATATAACACAGCAATGTCCATGGCAGACGCATCCTTCTACTTATTTATGTATGTATTTAAATAATAGATCACACATTCACAGGGTAAAAGACACAAAAGAGTATGCAGTGAAAAGTCTCCTTCATCTTCCAACGTCTCACCATTCAGTTATCCTGCCTCTCAACCCACCCTCTTCTCTGCTCCCACAATCACTTAACCCCTCTGTGCCCGAATTTCCTCATCTATAAAACAGAAATTAAGATAATAATGGTGCCAATCTCATAGGGCTGCTGTGATTAAAAGAATGAATATACATACATTTAGAACACTTGGAACAATGGCCACATATCATTTGGTAAACATTCACTATTATTACTATATTATACATATACAAGGAAATAGATGTATAGATAAATAGATATAGATATATAGAGTATTTTTGTTCATTACATGAATGATATATGTGTTCATTACACAAATAATATACATACTGGGGTTTGGGTTTTTTCTCAGAAAAGGATTTTTTTTTATTCAAGTAACTGCAAATAGGAAACCAGATGAGGAGCCCCAGGTTGGGACAAATGATGGCTTCCTCATCCCTGATAGAATGGGGGTGGGGGAGAAGGTGACCCCTACACTCTCCACAGTCAACGTGGAGCCCCCTCCTGACTTCGCTGCAGCACCCCAGGGACAGGGCCCCACCTGCGACATTTCATCTGCTCAAATGTTGTTCATGTTCCCTCTTCTGTGAATTATCTTTTCATCTCCACTGTCATTTTTCCATTGGGGTGTGGGTCTTTTTCTTTGATGGATGGGAATCCTTTGCGAAACAGAAAATCAAAGCTATGTCTGTATTATAAGTTAGAAATATTTTTCCCAGGTTTTCATCAGCCTTGGGAACTATATTCAAATGATAATAATAAAATGTTTGCATTGTAAATTTCATACCTGCATACTGTGAATTTCTGAAAAATACAAAAAAATTAAAGAGAGAAAATAAAAATCCTCTATAATCCCACAACAAAGATATTTACTGCTAATATTCTAGTTTCCTTTTAGTGTTTTTTTCCTAAAGATATGCTATATTGATATGAATGTAGATAAATATATATACATATGAATATATATAAACATATATTAGATACAAATTTCTAAATCCATGTTCTAAGGTATGTTAAAAATATGTAACTTAATTTTTCTCTAAGACTGTTTAAATTTATTTCTCTGTAAACTCAGAAATTATTCAGGCTTTCTCTCCCCAGCACCATCCTGCATCTGGAGGTGCTAAGGTTGGGAGAGCTTGGACAGTCTTGTAGCATTCAAGAGGGTGACAACAGGTTCACAGTGGGCATCTGCTGAAATATCCACGGTCCTCTTCAACTCTCCCCATCATTCCACTATGGCATCAACTGAGATATTGGGGTTCTCCCTGCTCCCCAGTTCATGAATTCTGCATCCTCCCATCACCCCATCCAGGAGGCTGGCAGGTCCTGGCCATCTGATCACCCACTCTCCTCCACCACAAAGGTCTACTCTGAATTGCATAAGCTAACCATTGACGTAAGTCATTCTTTCTGCATTTCCACAGTAACAAGCCTACGCTAAGGGCAGTGAATATAGAGTCCCCACTGCTGCCCAAGACATGAGCAAAGACCAGCAGTGGAAGAAATTGCAGAAGAAAAATAACACCAGTGAATACTTAAAGTTCTCATACTGACACATATCTTTGCACAATTGAAACCCTAGCATACAATTTGAGTTGTCCACTCAATATCATACTTAACCGAAAATTTTCATGAGTATATTAATTATCGAATATTATAAAAATTTGAGAACTTATATTTTCAAGTCAATGTGAACCTTCCCTATTATTGAAGATCTAAGTTGGTTCCAGTTTTCCAATATTAAAAACAAAACACTAAAAAAATAAATAAAAAGCAAAACACTGAGGTGAATCTCCTTAAAATATAAATTTTTTGTGCATCCTTTTCTTTCTAAAATAAATTCCTAGAAATGTAATTACTGAGTCTTCAGCATGTTAATAATCATAAGGTTATTAATAAATACTTAAAAATCACTCTGCAGAAAAATTCTCTTCATCATTATCCATTTCATAGTGCCCTCATCAATACCAGTTATTTTTTTAAAACTCTTTGTTAACTAGGTAGTCCAGTCATGAAATCTCATTGCAGAATTTATTTGTATTTATTTAATTATTTTACAGGCCACTGTTATTTCCTCTTTGGGAAATTATCAGCTACGCTGATTTTTCTATTAAGCTACCCATCTTTCATAATTTATTTATGAATCATTTCATGCTCAGTATATTAGCTTTCCTTTGTGTCACTCACATATGTTGCAAAATTTGTCCCAGGGTGTCATTTCCTTTTAATTGTATCTATGGTATTTTTATACACAGAATTTCCTTTCTATGTGGACAAATCTATCTTTTTTTTTTCCTGATGGTTTTATGTTTTCAAAGTTCTTCCCCATCCTCAAATCAGACAATTGTTCACTTTATTTTCTTCTAGTTTTTCATGTTTGCATTTTTTACACTTAATGCTATTATCCATCGGGAATTTATTTTGGCAGATACCTACCTCAAGACGCAGATACTGCTTTATAAAAACATCCTGGCTTTCCTAATTGGGGCGCTTGAGTGCCTGTGCAAAGGTTTACTGTGTTAGAAAGAACAGGATGCAGAGGTCATCAAAAGCCTGTTCTGGCGGCCTCTAGTGTTCCTCTCGTGGCACTGCACATGAGAAGCGCTCACAAGACCCGCTGAGACGCGGGCTCCAGCAAGTCTGCAAAAACTCGGTTTGATGGGAGCAGCTCATTATATTTATGTGGAACTGATTTAAATCGTTTGTTCATTAGCCATCTTTTGGCAAAGGAGGTACATTATCAGTACCACCCGTGTGCCAGGCCCCGCAGCAGGCATTTTATATGTGTTTTCTCAGTTAATGCTCAAGATAACCAAATATAAGAAGTATTAGCAGCACAATTCATAATTGCAAGGCTGTGGAAACAGCCCAAGTGCCCATCAATCCAAGAATGGATTAATAAAATGTGGTATATGTATACCATGGAGTACTATTCAGCTCTAAGAAACAACGGTGATATAGCACATCTTATATTTTCCTGGTTAGAGCTGGAACCCATACTACTAAGTGAAGTATCCCAAGAATGGAAAAACAAGCACCACAGGTACTCACCAGCAAACTGGTATTAACTGA